ATTGCCATTTTCACAACATTGAGTCTTCCTATCCATGAGCAAGGGATATTCTTCCACTTTTCAAGATCTCTTTTTGTTTCTTGTAGTAATGTTTCCATTCATTTGTTGATGGGCACTTAGGTTGTTTCCAACTCCTTGCTATTGTGAACAAAGCTGCAATAAACATGGGTGTGTTTCCTCTAGTCTTGATGCAACATTCCTCCTCATAAAGCCCAGCTTCCATCTTACACATGTATAATTCTTTAGGTCATATTTTTTTTATTTTATAAGATGAGTTGTTGTTATGTGCCATTGAGTCACCTGCAACTCATAGCAATCTTATATATAGCAGCTTACCCTGCCCTGAGCCAGTCTCACCGATGCTGACACACCTACCCCCATTGTTCCAGTGACTTATTGTATTAATACATATCATCCAGGGTCTTCCTGTCCTGCACTGTCCCCGCTCCCTTGCCAGGATCAGTCCCTTCTGGCCACATGTCCAAATTATATATCAAAAAATTTCAGTTCAGAAAATAATTATTTTCCAGAAAATTAATACTAACAGAATCTGTAACTCACTTAAGTATATGCTGATTCTGACTCCCTCTGTCCTCTCCTCTGGGTCCTCAAGCATCTACACAACAATCTTTCCTTTTCCTCCAGAGCAAGTTATCTGGTTTTGTCTTGAATGGATCCCTTCACCTTTTGGAGCTGCTGTAGGGGAGGTCTCTGGGAAACTCACTTTTCCCAGAGAGGAACCACAAGGAGCAGGAACCTTTCATGACAGAGGCGCTGATGTGGGAGCACAGTGATGCTTTCTTCTCCTCTCAGCCCTATAGTGAGCAACAAGGATGTGATCATGGTCACAAATGAAAATGAAAATCAATGAGAAGAAAGCTTAGTCCTCAAGGAAGGGCTCTTGAATAGCAGCTTACTCACACTGTAGGGGTGTTAGCAAGAGGTCTGAGGAGAGCAGCTTAAAGGGATTAATTGAGAGGGAGGAGATTGAAGAAGCTAATTATAAAGTTTGTGCCAGTGATGAGAGAGGATTACAGGACATTTTGTACACCAAGGTTTTGAAAACGAGAGGCTATTTATTTCTCTGACAACTAATGGAGATTGCGGGAGAAGCATGGGCAAACTCCTCCCGTGTGATTTGCTGCTTTTGAAAAGCCACTGAGGCTCAGCCATGAGTTGGTTCCAACTCGACAGCAGCAACAACAATGGCAACAGCGATAACTGGAGATTAAAGGTAAGAAAGGGAAATTTTGATACTGGCTATGCCTATATATATGTACCAACGGCTGTAACAGGGAAGACCTATTTTTATCCTTCATTATTAGATGCTGTTGAGTTGCCTTTTCACTCATGATGGCACCATCATGACTTGAATTGCCCCAAAGGGTTTTCTAGGCTGTAATCTTTCCAAGAGCAGATTTCTAGTTCTTTTTCTCATGGTGCTGAATGGATCTGAATCGACAACATTGAGTGCCTAACTGTTGTACCATAATAATAAAGACTCTGTTAAGGCTCTGAACCATGCGTCAGTGAAGAAAGTATTCTCACATGGTGGTAATTGCTCCTGTATAAGCTTTTAGGCACACCTAGGTTAGAAAGCTATGTGAAATGTAAAAAAAAAATATTAAAGGCATATATTTACTGTATCTTACTCTGTGCCAATAGGCAGTGTGATTTTATAATAGAATTTTGCCTTTCATGCTGTGGACTCACATTTGATTATGAGCCGGTGTATTTCCAGCCAGCTACTACCCTTCTGCCAGTGGATGCTTGTGTGGTGTCTTGCTGTTGAACAGGTTTCAGCAGAACTTCTAGAATATAAAAAGGGTCAATCAGAAACTAACATGGCAATGGTGCAGAACTGAAGGTTTCGTTCAGTTGTTTGTGTTATTTCATTTTGTTGGACACAACTATTTCCATGGAAACCAACAAGAATATTAAGTGAGGGACTGAGCACCAAGGGAAACACAAATACAAGTTGTCAAAGTCCCTTGTCCAAGTACTCTGGGTGTAGTAGGTCAGGAAGAGAAGTCATGGGAAATGGGCAACATCAGTTGAACTATACTGACAGTGGAGGCCATCCATCATAGGCTGGGAAAGGTTCCACAGAGAAGGAGAACCCAAGACAGTTTGGAGGATGGATGCGGCCAGCCACACAGCCAGCTCTCAGAGACAGATCAACCCGATGGAAGGAAGCTGAGAACTTGTGAAAAGCAGTAGGGGAGAAGGGGAAGGGCTGTGGAAGAGAACACAGTGGAGAGGATCTTGAGTAGTGAGATAAAGAGTTTGACTTTCTCTGCAGACAATAAGAAGCCACTGCAAGTTATGAAGTATGGAAATATCGCAGGGAAAGCAGGACTTTAGGGTAGCTAAGCTGGCATGTGCAAAGCAGACTGTAACCCAGTGACTAGTGACAGGACAAGCCCTGTAGGATGGTTTCAAGAATCCAGTGTGAGGTAGTAAAAGAGCATCAAGATTAGAGCAATGGGGACAGAAACAACGAGTTTAAAGGATGGTCTTGATCCTACCGACACAAGTCTCAGCCCCAAATCTTAGGCAGGCAAGGTAATTCCCAAGTTAATAACAATAAGTCATTTATGTTATGTGCTGTCCAGTCAGAACCTGCTCATAACTGACCTTACAGACAGTAAACTGCATCAGAGGAGATTGTCCATCTTTTCTTCTTTAGAGCAGCTGGTGGATTCAAACTGCCTACCTTTCAGTTGGCAGTTCAACTCTTTATCACTAAGCCTCCAGAGCTTCCAGCAGTGAGTGGTTTGACATCCTAAATAATAATAATAAGAAGAACAAGAACAACAACCACCACCAATAGGTTGCTGTAAAGGAAAGCTTTTCATTGTTCCAAAGTTTTAAGAGTCTATAAATCTAGATCAGGGATGTGCTCTAGGGAGAAGGTCCTCCTTAGTAAGTAGTCGCAAGACTGCTTACTTGGCTTGTAGGTGCATTTGCCTCTATTATCACGTGGTATCTGTCATCCCCATGTCTGTGTGTCCATGCACCACTTCATAAGACACCATGCAGAAAGGATGAAGTTTAGCTTCCATCCTACTCTGATATACCCCAACTGACACAACCAAAGAAAATTCTTTCCAGTCACTTTTACATGCACAGCATAATGATGACGTTTTTGAAAGAGAAAATATCAAATCCATCAGAGCTAGTGTATTCAAATTACAAGGTACTCTACAATTTGGGGTTTTGAAATGAACATTAAGGAGGGAATTTTTAAATATACTAAAGCAAATATCATGATATCATGATTTGGCATCAAACGGTACCATCCTCTTTGGGTTACAACCTGAGAGTTCAAAATGTTTCTGCTTCCCTATCCTTGAAGAGTTTGAGATAGATGGACTTCTGCTCTCACTTCTGACCTACAGCTAGAAACATTAGGCCAAGAGAAGCCAGCTAACACAGTCTCAACTTGAGAGTGAAACATACAAACTGGGCTCCTGATTCTTGGCCTGTTTTCGTCTTCCTTAGTCTTCCATATAGTCTTCTTACCTTTACATTACTCATTCACTCATTGTGTTAAATTATAACTGACGCAAAGCTGACTCTCCAGCAGGTTTTCAGAGGCTGCAAACTGTACAAGAGGAGATTGTCTATCTTTCTCCTGAGGAGCCTCTGGTATATTCAAGGTACCACAGAGGGTTAGCAGTGTAACTCCCTGTAGATTTGATCACCAGAACTTCTTTACCTCTAACTCAAAAAACCCTGATTTCCATCAAATCAGAACTCACAGGGGACCCTCCATTGGTCAAGGGCTTTAAATCACCTGAGAGGAGATTGTGCTTCTTCTGGGTAGCAGGTTGGGAGATTCAAACCACACGCCTTTGGGTTAGCACCACAACTCCTGACCCACTAGGCCACCAGAGCTCCCTTATGTCTACACAATTTTCCCTTTGCTTTACTCACTCTGATAGCATAGTGCACTGAGTGTTGGGCTGTGAACCAACAGGTCAGTGGTTTAAGTTCACTGACTGCTCTGCAGAGATGGATAGACAGTTTTCACCTGTTAAGATTTTCAGCCTCGGAAACACTATGAAGGGTCTGTCTAATGCTATTCCCCTGATCTTCCTTTTATTTTAGCCAAAAGTATTAACCTATCTCGGTGTAGCTGAGAAAGGAACAAATTTGAGTTGGGCAGGAAGTACCCCTATAAGGAAAAGAAGCAACAGGAAGTGTACAAACCCCAAGAGCTGCTTTCTGATTTTCATCTCCCTTTGCTGATTACAGCCGCCTGGTCCTCCGAGCCATGACCAGAGCCCTGAGAGATGCCCAGGCCCCGAGCTACCGTGAGTGCCTCCTCCCCTCTGCCGCTCGGACCTCTTCCATCATCCAAGTCACACCAGCCAAGAAGATAACCTTCTTCAAACGAGGGGACCCCCAGTTTTCAGGGGTACGGCTGGCAGTTCACCAGCGCGCCTTCAAGAGCTTCAGTGCCCTGATGGACGAACTTTCTCAACGCGTGCCTCTCTCCTTCGGGGTGCGCTCTGTCACCACGCCCCGGGGGCTTCACTGCCTCAGCACCCTAGAACAGCTGGAAGATGGAGGCTGCTACCTCTGTTCGGACAAGAAGCCCCCTCACACCCCCAACGGGCCTGGCAGGCAACATGGGAAAGGCCCCACGACTCAGCCATCGGGGGATTTTGAAGGCCAGTATGAGGAGCCAGGAACACCCTCTTCCCTGAAGGGCCCCAAAGCCTCAAGGAGGATAATGCTGGTTAAGAACACAAACCCCAGATGCCAGCGGACAGTGCTGCTCAGTCACAGAAACACTCGGAGCCTTCCTGCCTTTCTCAGCAAAGCCTCCGATCTTCTGCACTTTCCTGTGAAGCAGGTGTTCACCCTCAGCGGGAAAAAGGTAGGCTTTTGGAGGCAGGGTGTGTCCCCGCTACTAACTAAAGGTGGAACGTGGTCTCACAGACTTTGGGCGTATTGTCAGAAGGGTCCAGACTTTGGGAAAAACCATCATTCTGGGAAAGGAGGACTCTAAACAATGTGGATTGGCGTAGCGTAACCATCGTCAGGTGCTGTGGAGGCAAACACTTAGAGACACAGGCTAGCGTGTATCAGAGATCAGGGGGACAGCACAGGAAAGGGCTAGTTTTAGACCTGTTCACAAGATTGCTAGGAGTCATAGTCAACTCAATGCTGTTGTCCACTTAGTAACAATAACAACTAGAGATAACTAAGTAAAAACACCCAGGTTATTCATCGATCAAACAATTAATTGCTATTTATAATTTGAGCAACCATTCCATCAGCACTGCAAACTGCCAGGCATCGTGCTTTATACCCGTCTTGTTATTCTCTTTTTTTCCTCCTTTTTTAAAATTTATTGATATTTTAATGAAAGTTTATAGAGAAATTGGATTTGCATTCATTCATTGTTGCACATTTTCCTCCCTGCCCCCAGTTTACTTTTTTCTTTGAAAAAAAATTCTTTGATTTTTATACAGAACACACCCCCACCCCCACCTTACTCTGCATCTCTTATTCTGGACTCTTGTCATGCCAATAATACCTATTCATATGTTTCTTTTATATGGTTCTCTCCCTCATCTGTTTCAGTGCTGTGTACATTCTTTATCCCCTCCTTTCTTAGTTTCCCCCAACCCCCGTGTCAAACCTGTTTTATAATAGTGGCATTATGTAGTATTTATCTTTTTTTGTGACTGAGATATTTCACTCAGCATAATGTTCTCCGTGGTCACCCAGTGTGTATTGTATTTCATGAGTACTTTGTTTCTCATTGCTGCATAATATTCCATTGTGTGAATATACCACAGCTTCTCTATCCATTCATTTGTTGATGGGCACTTGGGTTGTTTCCAGCTCTTTGCTATTGTGAACAAAGCAGCAATAAACATGGGCGTGCATATATCTGTCTGGGTGGGAGTTCTGGTTTCTTTAGTGTATTTTCCCAATAGTGGAATTGCTGGGTCAAATGGTATTTCTATTTGCAGCTTTTTGAGAAAGTGCTATATTGCCTTTCATAGCAGTTGTACCATTTTACACTCCTACCAACAGTGAATAAGGGTTCCAGTTTCTCCACAACCTCACCAGCATTTGTTGTTTGCTGCTTTGTTGAATTTTGCTATTCTTACTGAGGTGAGATATCTCATGGTTGTTTTGTCATGCTATTGTCTTATCTAGCCCTTTTAACCTATTTCAATGATAATTCAGTCTGAGAAACAGACACTACTCAACATGCCTGAAGCAGAAAGTAGTTTAATACAGGTCATTAGAAACTTCCAGATGTTTGGAAAGCTGGAGAATTGGACTCTAGGAGAACTGTGGGAGATGCTCACTGAATCCTGCAGTTAGCTGCTGCCTCAGCTTAATGCTGCTGTAATTCCTGAGTTCAAGAACATTTCTATAGAGTATCAAAGATTCTAAAATTGAGACTGAGACACAGTCACAGCTTCCTCTTGAGGCCCAGGAACTCTGGACCACGAGTCTAGTTTGTTTAGCCTTAGGCTGAGTCTTCTAGAAGGAAGGAAGGAAGGAAGGAAGGAAGGAAGGAAGGAAGGAAGGAAGGAAGGAAGGAAGGAAGGAAGGAAGGAAGGAAAGAAGGAAGGAAGATCTCAGAACTGCTAAAGTTGATATTAAATAGAAATCTGAGTAATGTATGTATGTGTATATGACATATCTACCATCAAGTCAGAACTAATACATAGCTGACCCTCCAATAGGTTTTCAAAGGCAGTTAATCACATAGGAGATTACCCATCTTTCTACAAAATAGCTGGTGGATTCAAATCACGTGTCTTTGGGATTGCAGAGCAGCTGTATTAAACAAATTTTTGCACATATCAAAACAACAAAGAAAATGAAGCAATCTACCACTGGACCTTAAAATTTCCTTCCACTCCCCCCATTCCATGCTCTCTTTGTCTTCAGCCAGCATCCCAGCCAGTTGTAGTTATGTACCTGGTAGGAGTTTGACAATGATTCTCCTGATATTGTGTTACTATGGTTTTATAGTAGCTTTTACACACTATAAATGACAGCACCAGGGGATGTCTCAAAAGCTTCTCTAGGCAATAAATAGGGAGTTCTGGTGGCCTAATAGTAAGAAACTGTACTGTAGTGCCAAAGGTACCTGGTTTGAATCCACCAGCTATTCCATGGGAGATGGATGGCCAGCCTCCTCCTGTGCTATTAACTGCCTTTGAAAACCCATCGGAAGGTCAACTATTAGTTGTTTCTGACTCAATGATACACAACAACAGGCAATAAATATCTCCTTCCTTGTCTTCATTGTGTAACAGCAACTTTATTTTTCCTTGATAATCAGAATCAACTTCTCACACACCACAGAAATTTTCTCTTTTACTTATTGGTTTAATGTCATAAAGAGCTCCATATTGTCAGATTGTCTAAATTTCAGGTGCATTGAGCCACTATTATATCTCCTAGACTTGAGAACTCTTCTCTGAGTTCTGAGAAATCAAAGCTAGCAAAGTCCAAAGTTGATTGGATGAAAAGCAAACATTTTACAACTAGATCATTACGTGTAATAATTAAAGGTAACATTCTCTTTCTTGCCCCTTACTTCCCAAAGTATCTATTGCCTTAGAGGTTGCACTATGAATCTGAAGGCACTTGGTTCGAATCTACTAGCTGCTCTGTGAGAGAAAAATGGACAACCTCCTCCCCTGTGATTTACCGTCTCTGAAAACCCCCTGGAGGGTCAGCTATGACTCGATAGTACATAATCACAGCATTGAAGAGCAACGCTATGTATAGATTCTGTAAGACAACACTTCAACATCATAAACTGATGACTTCCAGTTGCATATACAACTGAGTCTTTCATAGAATATTTTGTTGTTCTTTAAGTATGACTGATTTGGGGTGATGAGATACATGGTTAGTCACTTCTTTTGCTATTAAAAAAAACCCCGATTATTTAGACAGCAACAATCTTCAAAAGTTCTGGCTATGATAAATAAGACATTTGATAAATTAATTGATGGTGATACTGGCAGAAGGATAATGGGCAACCTTTGGAAATCTATATTAAAAATAAATGGCTATTTCAGTGAGTACAAGTGTCCATGCTCCTACCATGATGAAGAGGTACGATGTAATCAGATACCAATTGATGGCTAGCTAATTCCTCCCAGGTATGTTGCAAAGCAAAATTTTATCACTGTCTGGTATCTGCTGTTGGCAGCTTGGCCTTAAGCAGCAGTAGCCAGATCAGTATTAATGCGGTGGAGTTTATGTTGTTCATTGATGTTACTTTTCTACTTTGTTCATCAGCTAATTGAACATGCCCTAGGTGATTGGATAAGAGGATGATAAGAGCATTCATTGGGCAATTTGTTTGACTACATTATTTTTGAGTCTGCATTCTTTGGAGAGCCTTGATATTCACAAATATTCTCACACACTGGACCTATTCTGAGAGATTAATTCACTATTCTTTTTGTCATCAATTCTTCTTTCTTGTTCCTCCTAAGTACCTGATAATGAAATTGATTCATAAAATATTGCCCACAAATTTGTCCATATCCCTTTCTCTTTACTCCAACAAAAAAGGTCAAATAACTGACTTCTAGATTTCCTCCAAAGAGTTCTTTGAGTTGGTCTGTAATATTGTATCATATGATTTTTTTTGTTAGTTTTAATATATCCTGTGAAATTCTCGATTCTGGAATCCAGTATTTTTTTTCTTCAATTAACTGATCATGGGCAGTTTCAATTGAGTCGTAAGTGTGTGCTGAGCAGAGGTGACAATGCAACAAGACACGTAAACACGACGTGTAAGCCACTCGCGCATACAACTTGTACCTTCAAGACCTGCTTGTAGATCACTAGTACAAGTCATCTCCACTCAAGGACTGAGCATTGTTTCACCATGACTACTTCACCATGCCTTGATGGACCATAAAGCCATAGGTTAGTTGTACTTCAGTGAGATGTTAGCCTAAAGTTGGTTTCGTTAAGCCATTACCTTAGTACCCTCTGATCTCCATCTATTTTATCAGCAGACACATGGTCTTACAAATTATCAACAACTTTGATGCTAGGATAAAAGAGTGCTTCCCACACTGGACACCAAGACTTGAGGGAGAATAGAGCAAGACCATGTTGAGAGTGAGACCTGAGTAGCAAGATCCTGGTGATGATGGTGGACAGACTGTGGTATTACTGTGGATAAACTATGGCACGGTTTAACCAGAGAAGCCCTGAGATAAAGGCCACAGTTAAAGGTTTTGCTGTTCTTGCCAGATGCGTGAAGGAGAAGCTGACTTGTAACTGCTCTGGGGCAAACTTTACTGGGTGATGGAGAAAACCAGACGCTTTTTGAAATTGTGTTTCTGAACTGAAACCTGAGCCTGGCCTAATTGAGGAATTGTACCTTGGGACTGCTAGACTAAAACTTGGATTTGCATTGGGTGACAGTCTTTGCCTCCCTCACTCCCCAACTTATTTTCCTAATAAACCCCATTCACAGTACAATTGTGAATAAAGTCTGTGACTCAACAATGAATAAATTAACCTCTTGCTGTTGGTATGGCTCTAGAGGCACCATGGGACTGGACTACGTGTTCTTGATCTACTTTCTACTGTGAGGTGGTGAGGGCTGTGCTCTTCTCACTCCCTCTGGCTCTTTCAGAGAGATGCTCATGGCCCTGTGCCTCCATGTCCCGTTTTCTGGTTTTTGCAACCAGATTTTTACAATGAAGAGCTCCTGTTACAAAATAAAACGAGGAGAAAGGTCCCAGGGAAGTTTTTTGGGTGACCTTCAAGTGTTACCATGTCTGGTGGGTAACAATTCATACACGATACAGTCATACAATGAAGAGTACAAGCCATGAGATAAATTATTCTTTTATGGATATCAGA